ATAGAGGGAAATGCATGTTGTCAGCTAGCCTCCCAGTCAAGGTCTGTGGCTGTGTCTACAGGAGAGCTTCTCCACTGCTCTTGAATGGGGATGACTCTGAGGCCTCCAGTGCCCAGGCTTCCCTCATACGTCTACTGGCGCAACACTCACAGGGAACCTGCAAAGCTGAGGCTGACCCCGAGCCAGGGGAGATTGTCCAGTCAGCCCTCCTCTTTTCATTGCTGCATGAGCTGGACTAGGGAGCAGTTTATCCTTGATAACCATTTGTTATCTGTGCTGCTGATATTTTCCTGTTTGGCATTTTCAGAGTTTAACCTTAAATGCCTAGAACTTGTCTCTGTTGCTCTCTCTGTTGCCTTAGTGACCAGGCACCTTCACTGTAGAAGCTTGTGGAGTAGGGGGGTGGTAGAGCCCTGCCACAGAGAAGACTATATAGCAACTTTGGGATGCTGGTGCCATAGAAGGTGAGGACAGGCATCTGATGGAGACAGAGGTTTTGCCCTTGGTAATCTATCCAGACATGTACAATAAGGTTAATATTTTCTTTTTGCGTTTGGGTTTTGGTAGCTTGGCTGATGTGTTTAGCAGAAGAATAGTTTGCAGTCTGATGGTGTATGGCATCCTTGGTGAGCATGTTGTGTATGCAGTGGTAATGGTAATGGCAGACGGTGTATCCTTGCTGGTCCTGTTGCTGTTAGGATGGAAACTATTAGGTCTACATAAACTGCTAGTGAGCCATCACCTTCCTAGGTAGAGTGCTGTCCTCCAGGGAGAAGCAAATTTACATCTGAGGGATGGGGAGATAACAGGGTAGTCCTAGAGAAATCTCAGTGAAGACCCCCAGCTGACCCTGTGTTTTCTGTGACTCTGGGTCTTAGCTGGGTTTGTCTCAGACTTTCTCCTATGCTTATGGGTGTAATTTGGCTATTTCTATGGTCAGACAAAATTTGGATTGGTAATTAGGAGTGATACATAGTACAAACTGTTTTCTACTAGGGTTTTTTTTTAAATTTTGTTTTTCTGTTTATGTGTCATTTACTGGTTTTCTATTCCATTTGCTACTCTTGGCCTTTGACCTTACATACAGTAAAGGGTACCTCTCTCTTTTCTGTACCTTCCACTCATACAGTGGAGTATGAGCAAGCAGAGCAGTTAGCTCCAGTTTTCTCAAGGACACTCTCAAGTCAGATGATGTTGTTATGTGCCACCAAATCACCTGCAACTCATAGAGACCCTATGTACAATAACTCTGAACCCAGTTCCATCCTGGGCCATTCTCATTGTCTTCCACACAGCTGCCACCATTACCCAAGTTACTGTGTCAATCCATCTCATCAAGGGTCTTTATCTCCTACATTGTCCCTCCAACTTTTCAAGCATGATGTCCCTCTCCAAGGACTGGTCCATCCTGGCACCAGCCCAAAGTATGTGAGATGGAGCTTCAAATTTCTTGCTTTCAGAGAGCAACTTGATTTTATCGTATCTAGGATGGATCTGTATGTACTTTTGGCAGTCCATGGTATGTTCAATAGCCTTCTCTAGCACCACAACTCAAAGGCATCAATAATTCTTCTGTTGTCTTTATTCAATTGTCCAGCTCTCTGATGCATAGCAAGTAATTGCAAAAACTATGGCCTATATCAGGCGCACCTTGGTTTCTCAGCTGACACCTTTGCAATTCAGCACTCTGAAGAAGGTCCCTTACAGCTGACTTTACTAATCCAATTCATCTTTTGATATCCTCACTACTGGTGCCAAGAGTGTTGATTGTGAAGCTGAGCAAACCAAAATTGTTAATAATCTCAATCTCTTATCCATCTTTCATGATGCTTCCCATTATTCCAGTGGTGAGGATCTTTGTTTTCTTGATGTTGAACTTTAGTCCATATTGAAGACTGCAGTCCTTGATTTCCTGTAGCAGATGCTTCAGGTCTTCCTCATTTTCAGCAAAGTTGTGTCATCTGTGTAACACAAATTGTTGATGTCTTCCTCCAATCCTGATGCTACATTCTTCTTCATAAAGCCCAGCATCCTAATGATCTATTTCACATACAGATTGAAAAGGAGTAGAGACATGTCCTGACATACTCCTTTCATGAGTTAGAACCATGCAGTGTTTCCTTGCTCTGTTCTTACTTCTACCTCCTGGTCTAAGTAGAAGTTTCACATGAGCACAATCAGGTGTTCTGGAATTTCCGTTCTTCTCAAGGTTAGCCACAATCCTTGAATCTGTTACAGATCATTGTCACCTCAGTACCTTCCCAGGGAAGATGCTGTGTGACAATTCACCCTCAGCTCCTGTCCATGTATTCAGTCTCCTACACATTACATTTATCCTTTCCTGTCCCCCTAAAACTGTCATAAGAAATCTTACTGCCCTCTGAGACAAGGGTAGCAAACTTTTTCTATAAAACACTATTTATTATTTTAGACTTTGTAAGTCATACCCTCTCTAGGCTGCTCAACTCTGCTAGGATAGCATAAAAGCAGCATTCTTGGCAATATATAAATTCGTGGACAAGGCTGGATTTCAACATTTATTTACAAAACTGCAGTGTTGGCAAGCTCTGGTGGCCTAGTGGCAAAAAGCTGCAACTGCAATCCCAGAGATGCACGGTTCAAATCCACCAGATGCTCTGCTGGAGAAGGAGGAACAATCTCCTCCTGTACCAGTCAGATCTGATTTGACAGTACACACAAAAAATAATGAAATAAAATAATTTTTAAAAAACAAACAAAAAAACAACCAAGAAACTGCAGTGTTCAAATTCGGCCCACAGACTGTAGTTTTCAGACCCCCTGCTCTGAGACCATCTGTGATTTCATTCTAACTCTCCAGTGGTAAATCCACTAAGAGCAGTGATTTCTCAGCATGCTGCACCGCTCATACTGTCTGATTCTAGTGTCAAGCAGGAAGCGAGCCTCTGGCAACAGTTGTGCATCTTTTTTTTAAATTTTTTTTATTCTGTGTATGTGTGTCTGTGTACCGTCAGATCAGATCTGATTGGTACAGGAGGAGATTGTCCTTCCTTTCCCAGCAGAGCATCTGGTGGATTTGAGCCATGCATCTCTGGGATTGCAGTGCAGCTTCTTGCCACTAGACCACCAGAGCTCCCCAACAGTTGTGCATCTTAAGGTTGGAGTGAGTGCTGAGAACTAGTGAGAAGCCCCTGATTCTGACTTTCTCTCAGCCTTCAGCATCATAAATCCTGAGCTATTTCCTCCCTCTCCTCTCCCACTGTCACCCTGGAGCTCCCAAGCAGTTGACACCCTCAGAAGGCAAAAGGCAGAGAACTTCGAAGATAGACACCCTTGAGGTCCCTTTAACCTTCTTGAGGTACTTAGAGCCTCCAAAGTCTGAATCTAACACTATTTTCTTCCCTTGTCAGTGGCACTGCCAAACACCTGGCAGATAAAATGTCCCTAAAGACGTCTTTGTTGGCTCCTAAAATAGTAGTACACGTTTTTAAAAATGTGTGAGAATGGAGGGAGGGGGTGAAGGAATTAGGAAAGATTCCATGAGAACCTGAAAATATGAGGTAATGGTGGGCCTGGATCAATGGTGATTATTTTTATAAAACACAGTGTAAATAGAAGAATGTGTGTGAGACACAATGTATATAAAATAAAACACAATGTATGTAAATTTTGTATACAAAATAATATAAAAGAAAAATAATTTAAGAAAGGAAATCTGAATGATAATCAGATGTGAGGATCCTGAGTCAAAAAAGGCAAGGACTCACCTGAGGGGAAGCTTGGCCTAGAAGAGCAGCCAACACTCTTCAGAGGATTCGTAGTCATCCTTGATCATATTGGAACCTGGTAGCAGAGTCATGCATGCCTTCCATCCAGAAACCTTTTTTTTTTCTATAATTATATTTTATTAATTTTCATAAACATTTACAGAGATTTTGGGCTTCCACTCATTCATTGTTGCACTATTCTCTCTACCCTCCTCCCAGTTTGTTCTTGTCCAAATGCCACAGTGCTTGTCAAAGCCAGTTCTGATTAATCTTCTTTGTCAGTGTGTCCTTTGCCATTCCCTATCACTCCTCCCTGAGAGAGACTTCACCCTGAGTCATAAGGAAAAGGGGATGGCGTATTCTCTTAGCTACTTCCTGCTGAAAAGGGACGCTGTGGGTTTCAGGGTGAAGATCTTCTCTCACTACTCTAAAGGGCCCCTTTGGCAGTAGGAAACACATAGACTATTATGGAGATTGATTTTGGGATTTAGATGCACTCTTATTGAAACCTTTTTGAGCTCTTTATTAGGAAAAAGTTAAAATAAAATACAAATTATTATCAACTCATGACTAATGTTCTTTCATACCTTGTTGGGTTAAAGGGAATTCCAGAGGTATCATTTCACCAGTAAACACTTCCATGTTAGAACTTGAGTCTGGTCTGTAGTCTTCTGGAGAACACAATAGAAGCTGGCTCTCCTTGGACTCACGTCACACTTCTGTTGTCTCCTGTACACAGACATTCTTTTTCTGACTCATGGTCCCTGCTCTCCAGCAGTTGCCATTTCAGGAAACTTGGAGATGCAGTGGGAACCTCTGAGCATGTGAGAAATTTGGTAGACCTATGTATTTCTTAGTTTCTAGTTTTCTGTTCCAGATTTCCAGCAGATTCTTTTTGTACTTTTTTAAAGGATAAAACTTCTTAACTTAGTTAAAATGGTTTTGTTTTTAAGATGTCTGCTTTACTTTCCTGTTGATGTTCCCTAAGCGGAATGAAATGTAGATTTCTATTAGACATACAGCTCTTAAGAGTATGTTAGTCTCTGAACATTCTCCAATCCTGCACTGTGACATCATGAGCTCTCTGTGACACCACCTATTTGTCCCAAGGCTCAGGAGAGCAATTGCCAGGCCAAAGCCCTCTCAACTCTGTGGAATTCAGGATTCTGTCAGAGGAGCTTTGACTGCCACCAGTTAGTTTGTTGGGCACTTGGCTTGCATTTCCTCTGGTGACCTGTGGCTCTTCTGTGACAGGAGGGTGCTGGGAGAGCAGAGTGAGAAGGACCACTTGCAACCAAAGGATGGAGAGACATCCCACAGGGTCCAGATTCAGCATCAGCAGCTCTACGTGGAGGATTTGAGGCAGCAGATCCTCACAGGACAGCTTAGAGCCGAGCAGGAGCTAGAATTCGACCAGGCTCACATCAACCAGCAAATTGAAGACAGTAGGTGTCCACACATAGGGTGTCTGCCTCATCTCCTCTTGTCTGTTCCATTCTTCTCCTTACCCTACCTTCCATGTTCTGTCCTTTGTTGTCTTTGTGATATGATGGAATCCTTGACTTTAAGTGTTCTCTCCTTTCTGCCAGAGACCCGGGGCCTCACAAAAGGCTGGTAGCAAGAATAAAGGAACTAACTTCCTTATTCCCCTCAGGATCGTGGTTCTCACTTGTGCACACACATGTCCATGTCTCACTGCAAACCCTGGCATGTGTACACTGCTGTATTAAGGCCTGGGGGTGGTCTCCCACTTAGCCTGTGGACGCTGCAGGCACCTTGACCAGCTCTTTCACTCCAGAGAGGGTCTGACTAGGTTGGATGAGCCCAGGAAGGCAGGGGAAGGGAGGGAGGTACTGACGTTTGTTCTCTCTCTCTCTCTCTCTCTCTCTCTGTCTCTCGTGTGTTTGGTTGATAGATCAGAAGTGGCTGCTCAGAGAAGAGACCTGGTTGGCTGGCTTGCAGCAACAACAACAAAACGTCATAGCAGAGAAAGAACGGGAGCCCTCTCTATCATCCAATGCTTGGCTTCAGGCAGATTCTGAGACTCAACCATCCCCCCTGGTCCAAAGCCAGAAGAAAGTGGTACAGCTGCAACTCCTTCGGAGACACGCTGTTTGGGCAGCAGAGCAGAACATCCGGCAGAAAAAGGCCACATTCCAGTTAGAGAGGATCATCAAGAAGCAGAGGCTGCTGGAAGCCCAGAAGAGCTTAGAGCAGCTCAAGGTGTTATACTGGCTCCAGGATGACAACACCCAGGAGGCCCCAGATCAAGTCCCCAGCATTGATGTCCCAGGGCCTCGACGTAGAAGTAAATCAACAAGTTGCAGTTCTTTGAGCCTCCAAAGGCTTTGCAGCCAGTACTTGCCCCAGCCACACAGGTACAGACAATAGCACTGGAAGCAAGTGGAATCCACAGAGTATTTTAAGCTCTTTGGCTGTAGTTGAGAGCTTTTAGTCCAAGCAATGCTCTTTGCATCCTAGCACCTCTGTCTTCAGTCAGTAAAGTGGGAAGATGTATTTATTGCTCTGTTCACTACCACTTTTTTCTTTCTCTTTAGTTCATATCTTCTGAGACTTGGGCTTCTCCCCTTCTCTCACCTTGAGCCCTTCTTACTTTGTTGATACCTTCAGCTCGTTTCTCAGCTTCTATCTATATCCATTTCATTATTGTGTATCCTATTTCCCATCACCTCAAACTCATCACACCTCAAACTCATCATACCTCAAACTGAATTTCTTCCATCCCATACACTTCCTCCCTCTACCTCTCTGCCCTGTCCGTTCCCTCAAGTGAACTTTCTAACCCTCGTTTCCAGCTTTGTTAGTAGAACTCTGTCCATCTGACTCCTGGCTTCAATCTTGAGATCTTTCATGGGTTTCTCCCCCTCCCTCCCTCTTTACATCTACTTGGTAGTTGTTTGGGGTTTTCCCTTATTTTTACGTGGTTATTCTATTTTCCAGGCTCCATAGAACAAGCATCTGTGTCTTAGACCTCTTTACATCCACTGGACCTAACATCATGTCTGTGTTGAATTTTCCTCACTTCTCTGGTTTTCAGACAGGGGTGTGTTTAAAAATTTTTCATTATGAAAATTTTTCAAACATATATGGTAAAACCTGCAAAAGTGATAATCTTTGTAAGATGGATACCTATTAGAGAAGGAAACTGAAAATATTTTTTCCAGCTCTCATGGCCTAGCGGTAAGAAGCTGCACTGCAATCCTGAAAGGATGCAGTTCGAAGCCACCAGCCATGCCATGGGAGAAAGATGGGCAGTTTCCTCCCATGTGATTAACTGCCCCTGAAAACCCGCTGGAGGTTCAGCTGTGGGTTGGTTCCCACTTTACGGTACGCCACAATAGAGAACTGTAAAAAGTGGCTAAGACTATGTCCTATCAGAAAACTTGTAAAATCCAGGATAGAAAGGCAGCCCTGCTGAGCTCTGGCTCTTACAGGTTTCACTGTATATGCAAAAACCTTGAAAAGTGAACTCTCTATGTGAAATATATAATAAGAAATTATCAACATTTTCATCATAAAAGTCAATTTCAAACTAATGCAAAATCATGCATATTAAAATGAACTCTTACTGGGCCTTTGGTAGGCATGGCCTGCTCTCACAAAGTCTTCTGCCTTTGTTGAGTTCCAGCTTTTGCATGATTTACTGTACAAAAATTGAGTGAATATTGTACCCGCTTGCCATATCTCCATTTATCAAGATTTACTACATTTGTTTTATCTCCTACCTTTTGCTTTTCTGATGAAGTATTTTTAGGAAGTATTTTAAAGCAAATTCAAGGCATCATGTCATTTGAACCCTGAAGTACCTATAGGTAAAAAATGCAGATTTCCCTTATAACCACAATGTGATTATCACACATACCAAAATTACTCCATATAAAGCCTGGGCATTATTCACATTTCTCTAATTTCCTCAAAAAAATGTCTGTTCACAGTTGGTGGTTCAGATAAAAATTCAAGTGTGATTTACACAAGTAATTATTTTGTATTTTACATTTCATGAGATCATTCCTTTTGTTGTTTTATTTTTTCATTGATTTGTTGCAGAAGTTTTTGAGTGAGTTGTTCTGTAGGATGCACCACTCTGTATATACAGTCTTTTAAATAATTTATTTGTTCCTCATATTTTCCATTAACTGGAAATTGCCTCAAAGAAGCGATTGGATTCAGTTCAGCCTTTTATAAGAGAGTGGAGTGTGCCTCGGGCTTCTCCATGAGCCAGGACTAGAGTCCACGGGGCCTTCTGTACGTAAAGTGCTCTCCTCTCACCCTGAAGTCTATGAGAGACAGTGGTACAGGGTTTTTAGTCTCTTACAAAGCAAACATAGGAGAAACTTTATCTTCTTTATGAAAATAGCAAGTAAAGGCCTTTACTTTCTCTTCAGTAACTTCCCTCATCTCCACAGTGTGATCCTGCAACGGGATCCCTGCCCCACAGCACTGCCTGTGCCTGACCCTACTCACCAAAGGCCAGAGGACACTCTGTCAGAAGAGCATCTGCCCCACGCTGCTTCCTACCCTCTGAGGATGAGGACTCTCAGCAGAAATGACTTCTGTGGCCCAGGCCAGGAGCAGATGTGCACAACCAGGGGCACCCGGGCCATGAAAACCTCCATTCCATGCCCCTGCCTCACTATGAACTCCATGTCTCCCAGCTTCCAGGAGATGGGGAGAATCGGTAAGCAGCCCTATTGGAAGATGTCCCAGGGCTCAGCATCTCTGAACCACCCAGCTAACAAGCTAAAGGCAAGACTTGAGCCAGAGGCCCTAACCTCCCAGAAAAGAAAAGCTAAGAGAATAACAGGATCTGGTTCCATACAAGCTGAGTGGTGCAAAGAAGGGAACCTTGTCCACAGAGTTGTCAAGGGAACCGGTTGCAGTTTCCCTTATCCTCGTGAACACAGGCAGACCTCTGGGTGTGGAAAGGCAGCCAAAACTTTCTGGGCAGAATCAAAACCAGTATCTCCAAACAAGGCACCAAAAAGGCAGCAGAAGGTGCTGGCAGCGAGGATCAGAAACACTGCCAAGAAACCCCCTCATTGGCCTCATGGCAGCCCTTTAAAGAGACAGCACCGTGCATGGGACCCCAATATCATGGCCCCAGTCAGCAACTCCATTCTGATAGGAGGTCTTGAAGGAGAAAATGACAATGATTTCTCTGACATAAATAGCGATTACTCAGCAGATTCTCTCTCCTGTGTTTATGCCCAAACCCCAGTGAAGATTCTGAAGCCAGAGGACCCAAATGGGGAGGAACTGGATCTCCCAGAGCCAGACAATTCAGAAAGTGATGACAGCCAAATTTCTCAGGACTCACTGGTTGAGAGGGAGCACCAATCCCCTGAAGCCCGTGCTAAGGGCAGGCATCACATGCATGGCCCTCGCTACCACGGGGCCCCCATTAGAGCGTCTGGCAGGCACTTCACCAAACCCTCAGCCTATGGACTGCTTTTTCAGGCTCACAGGAGCTTTTCCCTGGATAGTCTGAATAATGCTGTGGTAGAATTAGGGGAAGACCAACAAGAAAAGGCTTTCCGTGGTTCACTTGAGGAGATGCCCACGGAGACTTTTTGGCACCTGCAAAATCCTGGTATGTCTGTAGTGAGTGAGGAGGCAGCAGGCAATTCATTTTACCTCACTCCTCTCTTCCAACCCCAGGGTGGGCCGCCTGACTCAGCAGTGGAGAAAGCCAGCTCGCTCTCAGGCGTGCTGCCATCCAGAGGGAGCCCACTAATGTCCATGGATTCCTGGTTTTCTTGTGACTCTAAGATCAACCCCAGCAACCCCCCAGGAACAGTGGGCTCTTTATGTCCAAGTCCTGATGTCCAGGAATTTCAGTCCTGTGGTTGGGAGAAGCCTGAGTCCTGGCAAAATAGGAAAGAACTAAAGCCATCAGATACAGAAGCTGTTCTTCCAAATAGTTTTGGATTACTCCAAGGCAGTGCTGAGTTAGGCTGCGGTGCAAGTGATGGGTACACAATCCCTACTTCTGATACCTCCAGGCTGTCATTCTGGGAGACTCACAGCCCGTTTCAGCCAGGGGTTGATGGCACCTGTCAGAGAAGGGTTGTTCCAGATACGTCCCAGGAGAGCACCTCTGAAACATCAAATAGCTCTAGTATGTCTAACGTGTTAGCTGCCTCTGCTGCTTCCTTCACGCATGTAGGCAGTGCCTGTGATAGGGACTGGTCTGCCCTTCAGCAAAAGTACCTTCTTGAACTGTCTCATCCCGTTTTGGAAGCCGTAGTAGAGCCTACTCTAGCTTTCCCTTGCCTTGAGGAAGACTCCCATGCCCTGACCCAAGCTACTGCCAGAGGAGGAGAATCTCTATTGCCAGCTGGTCCTGGGGTATCCAGCAGTCTGGATTTCAACAGTTCTATCCATCTATCCAAAAGTAGGTGTTTGAGAGCAGAGAAAGAACAGGATGGTTTGGGTGTCAAGTTAGAAGATACAACAAATTTCTGTAGAGCGAGTGAGAACAAGGTGAGTTATAATGAAACTTCTTCAACAGAATCATTGACTTCTAGAACTACAAATGTACCTGTTTTTTCAGTAGAGAGCAAAGTACCAAATTTGATGGTAGAAACATGTGAAGTCAAACAGAACAACTTGAAAATGTACTGTCAGGATAGCAGGAAACCGGGGTTGATGCCTTCCTCTGAGGAGTCTTTCTTCCTAAAGAACACTTATCACAGTAATGGCAGCATCGCCACCAAAGACCATTGGCCCCAATGTGGATCATCTCTCAGGAAAACTAGTGAAAACCGACCAGGACGACCACAGCACAACAGCCGCTGTCCCCTGCAGAAGGACAAAGGAGATTGCCAGAGGAGCTCCAAAGACAGGGATTTTTCCATTGACTTTCTGTCAGATCCAGAGCTATGCCCGCACTCTGCTCCTGGAGATCCAGTTTCATCTTCCCTCCAGCCACCTCCCTTAGAAACCTTCTATGTGACCAAAAGCAGGGATGCTCTGACAGAAACCGCATTAGAGATTCCAGCTTGCAGAAAAGCACGGGTGCCTGCTCCACCCGTCAGGGAAGCCTGGGGTACTGGTCCTGACCACCAAGTTCTCTGCACTTCTTATGTGAAGAATAATTTGCCAATGCCTTTGCAGGACCAGAGCTCTAAGATTGCCAGCTCTCAGCAGATTGCAGTGGAGAGGCCAGTTGATCTCAACACAAGGGAAGGGGGGAAAGAAAGCTATAAAACAGTTTCTTTTTCTGTTGTTCCACACAGACATCTTTTCTCTTCTACTAGCTCAAAAGTATATGAATTCGAAAATCAAGTGGAAATTGTGAACAAATGCAGTCTTCTAGCATGCAAGGAGAAAAGAGAGGCCACTACTGAGGCTCAATGCAACGTTTCTTCAGACAGTTCTGTTTCTGGGAAACCTCTCCTTGTCTGTGAATCTGGAGAAGAATCACAGGATCAGAATGCAGTCCTCAGACAGAGCCAGGCCTTTGCTATGAACAGACAGCTTTACACTGGACCTAGGTCTGATTTCATCTGTGAAACCATCAATTTAGGCCTGGAAAACAACATGCTAGAAGAAATGACCATTTCCTTGAAGTCCAGGTCAGTAGATCACAGTGCCAGCAGCTCAGTGATAGCGGCCCAAGAGGAGATCCATACCCACAGGTGGGAAGGAAAGAATGAAACTATGCTGCTTAGAAAAGCTCGCCATCCTCAGTACAGCTCAGATGAGCTTAAGCTGCTAGGGGCCGACTCTGTGTATGAAAGATTCCAGACAGTGCCATCCTCTCATGGAAGAAAGCCCAGTGACTGCAAGCAACCTGAAAAGTCACAAGAAAGGGCAACGGAGGAAACTTCTGGCAAAAAGCAGAATAAAAGCATTAATAATGATGATGAAATGGCAAGGCTAATTAGGAGTGTAGTGCAGCTGGAACATAGCGTCTTAGAAATGGAATCCAAGCTGACTAAGCAGCTACATCGTCCCCGCATAACAGGAGTCAGTGAGGAGATTGTGTTTCTGGACGAGGAGAAGGCTGGCTGTGTCCTGAGGCCAGGCAGCCCTGCAGAACACGTGTCCTTCCGAGACTCAATATCTTATACAAAGCAGCAAGGTGATGTTATCTTAAGGGATAGTAGAGTTGGAGAAATGAAGGAGTTTAGCAGCTGGATGGGGAAAGAGCCCCAGGTGCAGAGGCCTTTCACAACAACAGGGTGTGTAGAAGAGATTCTGTTTGTGAGAGAACCCTCTTACCCAGATGTATTCAGTAGATCTGCCAGGGGCACGTGGGATTATACAGGGACAGACACAGCTCACAGAGAGTCCTCTAAAAGAGGAATGACAGCATCGACCAGAGCCCAACCATTGCAGCCCAGACAAGAGAGGTCTTCCACCAGTGAGGGTGAACTGTTAAATGCATCAGCTAGCCCCAGGGGGCAGCCTCATGACACAAGAAGGCCTGAGGAATTAGAGACTGTAAAAGATTTCCAGAAAAGCAAAGTTGGCAAACACATAAGCAGTTCCATGCAAAAGGGGCTAAAAGTTCAACGCAGAATTGAAGAAATGATTATGCAAATGAGAGGGAGCCTAGAGGAAGACACCAAAATGATCTCATCAGTTCAGAAACTTGCTAGTCCAAGGCTGCTTTGTATGAGCAGATTTTTCAGCCAAGAGACCATGTGCCCAGTGATAAGCCAGACAGACTCTGCTACCACATCATCTCACCAAGACTTGACCAACACCTTGCCCTTGAATTCTCCAAGCTTACCAAGGAACTGTTTCCGTACACCTGACACTGCAGGAATCTTTTCAGTTGACTATATGCTGGATCCCACAGTATTTAAAATTCGCGACAGCCCCTTGGTAGCTAGAAGAGAGCATGAGGACCAGAATGGAGACATCCGAGGACATGTTAGAGGGATCACCTCTGTAACACACACTGCTTGGTGTGAACCTGCAGTGTCCATGATGTTAGACACTCCTGGTCAGTCTCGTGCAACAGAGAATGTTTCTCTTTGGGAAGAGGGCAGGATGGCAGCAAACACGACCCCTCAAGACCGGGGAAGTGGCCTCATAAACACCTTCATGGACCTGAATGCCAGGGAGAGTTTTGCTCTTGAAACAGGGGCTATACAGAAGGAAATAAAAAGAACCAGTTCCCAGAACTCTAGTCACTTTGAAAAGACTATCAATAGCCCCTTAGAAGAAAGTGACTTTCAAGTCAAGGAGATGAAGCAGAAGACAGGGAATGATGCCTTCTCAGTACCTGCTTCCCTCACAAATGTACCCCCCAGTCCAGAGTCCACAAAGTGGGAGCCCTCTGCCCATGCATCCTTCTGCCTGGCTCTGTTGGAGGAGGTCAGACAGGCAAAGGCCCAGGGAAAACAGCTGACTGACTGTGTGGCTAAGAGGACAGTTTTCCCTTCCCAAAAAACATTACCAGAACTTGAATGTTCTTCTGAAGTCTCTGGGAGGCCTCAGAATAAACAAGTAGGACAGTCAGTGTCAGACAGAACCAGAAAAGAGGGTGAAGCACAAGGATTTCATAGGCCAGCTCAGTCAGCTGAATTGGGATGTTTGCTGACTAATGAGAAGACAGTGCTTCAGGCCACACCCCTCTCTGCAGAGAGCTCCCAACCTCTGTCCAACTTGGAAAATCACAGTGGAGCCCTGCTCCCCTCACTGCCTGCTACTCCTGCTCTAGGCAACAGCCATTGCCCTGGAGAGCCGAGACCCTGCCTAGGAGTAAGTGAACAGTTTAAATGTCACTCTGGCTCTTCTGAAATCCCAGAAAAAATGGAAGAAGCAACCAGAAAATTCTCCCTTCCTGGTCCTTTGGGCTCAGATTGTCTTCTTTCTTCCTCAGCTGTAGAGGAGGACAGGAGGGTGGAATTGGAGAAAGCAGTCCCTGCCTTATCTTCTCAGGTCCCCTCTGACAACCCTGGGGTGACTCAGGATGCACCCTGTTGGCTAGCTGTGAGTGAGACTGTTGCTGACTTGCTCCCTGAGTCTCAGGAGAGCCACCCAGAACCTCAGGAACCTAGGAGTCTAGACTCTACATATGGAGGCGGTTCAGGGAACTTCTTGGTAACTACACAGGCAGGAAAACCAACCTATTTTGAAAGACACTGTGTGCCCTATGATGCTCGGAGTTCTACAGATCTCTCTGTGGGGCCTGAGCAAGACTATGCCCAAAGCCTTGAGGCTTCCACAGACTTAGAAGATGGGAAGGTGAACCTGAAAACCTCAGGTTCCCTCAGGCCTGGAGCCCTGAGAAGGGCTAAACTTGAAGATCCCTCCCAGCAGTGTGCAAACCAGAAGGGGAGTGTTCGGTCTTGGCCAGCAGAAACCTGTACGTTTGGCAGCCGGTATCTAAAGCCAAGTTCATCACCAATACCACAACCTAATCCAGCTCCTGGGGTCATTGAGGAGAAGGTCCTGTCTAAATGCCCAAAGGGAGCTTTGGACTGCATTGTCTCTGCGAGCATTGAAGGCAACAGGACTCCCAGCCCTTATAGAGGGCATGAAGAGAGCAGACCTCTTCTTTCCCTAGGACTCTGCGGTTTGCCGCCTGTCTCTTCTCATGCCAGTTCTCTCCATTCCTCCACTTTGCTGGGGTATGGAAGTGGTGACCCGGAGAAGGCTGCTCCAAACACTGTCCCCCTACCCTGCATAGTTCCTTCCAGGACCTGCGGCATGGACGAGAGAGGGGCAGGCTGTTCCCTGGAACCGGATGTGCTCTTGGCACATGGCCTGAAGCCCAAAGACAACAGTGTGGAGTTAGGGGCAGCAGGTGGCCGCACTCAAGAGCCCTCAGCAACAGCTGCTGTCTTTCCCCTGACTCAAAGCTGCACTTCTGCCTTTGCCCCCGATAAGGAAATACATCCCCTCGCTCACTCAACTGCTGATGGAAGCTCAAGTTCAGCAGAGGAGGCAGAAAGAAAGTCTGTTGAGAAGAAAGGCAGAAGATACTATGAGACTCTCTTACCCATAGGTATGTGTGCTGAGCCACCAAGGAAACATCACAACAGCTGTGCAGGGGGCCAAAACTCACAGACAGTTCATATGAAGCGAAACTCACCTGCAACAAGTGGAGGGTTTAATACCCGCAATTCACATGAAGAGTCTGCTTTGAACATTCTGCAGGAACCACAACATGGATACTTGGAAAATACCCCCAGGTACCTTCCAGAAAAGCAGCAGGAGCCCACTGAGTTCAGGAACCACAGCAGCTTGGATTTCCAAAGCAAGTTTGTAGCAAGTTTAAAGCACTTCCAGAGCACCCGAGTTGACAGTCCTTGGGAGGAAGAAGAGCAGCAAAGAGACGAAGCTTCAGGTGATGGTAAAAACCCTGCCCCTTCAGATGCAGATGGCTTGGACAGTCAGAGCAGACATCCTTCCACCAACGAGGAGGCTGTGTCTAAGCCTGAGAGGGTTTCCTCAGACATGGAAGACTTTGTCTCTGTCCATTTTGGGCCAAGTGGGCCACAGCCTCCTGGCCAGAGGCTGGACCAGCGCAGCTCTGGCAGGGAGCAGTCTTCCCATGGCCAGGATTCAGTTCCCGTGATTGCAATTTTCTCTGGTCCCAAGCACTCTCTGAGAACACCCCCTCGGCCGCTGTTCTCTGTTGTCAGCTCTTCCCGATCTCTTCAGGAGCTAAACTTGAGTGTGGAGCCTCCTCCCACAGATAAGGATATACTGGGGCCTAACCGATTGTGGAACCCACATCTCAATGACTGCTGTTCAGGAGAGCTGGCAGCGAGAAATGATCTAGAAGCTAAGGGAAGCTGCATTCAGAAAGCCTCACCTAATTGGGACAGCAGGAAGGCTGGTCATGGGCCAATGAAACCTGCCACCTTGCCTTATCCTGCATCTCCAGCTCTCTCATACATGCCAGGCCCAGATTGTGTGCCTGGTACTCAGGATGTGGCCCAGGAGGGAAGGTCGGAGAGACTGGGGCCAGAGGAGTGGTTTTCTGGCACAGACAGAAAGATGTTGCACTTTGACTTGAGGGGCATTAATCCTTCCACTCTGCCCTGGCGTACAGGGGGCCCTGGGTGCATCAGCTGGAAGCAGTATGTGTTTGACAGTGCAGTTGATGGGCGCTGCAGCCAGACAGCTACAGGTGTGATCCCATCAAATGTGGCCCTTTGTTCCAGCATAGACCATGGCCTAGAAGACCAGCGGTACCCCTTCCCCTTGCACCTCAGTGCCCGTGCCAATGCCTGGGATCTGTCAAGAACACACAGCAGCACTGAGAATGCTTGTGCTTCAGATGAAGCTATGGAAATATGGGGTTCCTCATTTGCCTTAGGGTACTCCCACCCCAATATAGGCACTGAAAGAGGAGAAAAGAGGTTCCAGCTTAAGGATGCCTCTGATGAAGCAAGCATAAAGAGCAAGGCCCCCTTGTTGGAAGGAGATGCTGCAGGTCCAGTGGATGAAATTCTACTGCTATATCCTTCCGCTACAGACAGTACCCTGGGGCAAGCCAAGAGGTGCACCATTGAGCAGGGCACACAGACCCTCAGCTGCAGGCCCCACTGGAGCTGCACGGATGTTGCCTCTGGTGCTCCAGAGCTCAGTGCTGCCTCAGTGTGTCATCTAGCCTCGTGGACCAGCATGCACAGCCTTTCTCTCCACCTTTCACAGCTCCTGCACAGTACCTCAGAGCTGCTGGAAAGTCTCTCCCAGCCAAATGCAGCTGAAAAGGAGCAGAAAACCAGGGAGCAGTCCCCAGGAGCAGCTGAAAAGGAGCAGAAAACCAGGGAGCAGTCCCCAGGAGAGGCCCCACAACTCCTCAGGACAGATGGCTGTACTCAGACTGCTGTAGATAAGGGCAGCCAGACTGACCTGTGTTCGCAACCTCTGCTCCTCCGTGCACTGGAGGCCAACCCTCAAGAAGTCAATGTGATTCTTGAGATGCTGGACTCAGAGACTTTGACCATGTCTCAAGAAAAGGGATTTGTCTCGGTGGCACTTGAGAAGAAAAGGATCAAAGAAACAGCAAGGTCCCCAGATCTTCAGGAAGAAAATATTCACTGCAGGTCTCAGAGGCCTTCATCCCATTTGAAGTTTCAGAAAGACTCCCTTGGGCAGGAGCTGCCTTCTGTGAGCACCCAGTATTCCCTAAATATGTCCGTACCTCCCAGCTCCCAGCAGGACACATGTTCATGCCTGGGTGTCAGCAGCCCCGGCCTCACTCCCTCCCAAGAGCCTGTTACTACTGCTGCAGAGTCAGTGGAGGAGCCTAGGCTCCAGAAGGAGCAGCCAGGCCTCATGAGCACCTTGGTGGTTGATAGGGCTTCCTCCCCAATCCTCACACTGAGTCCCAGTGCGCAGGGGTCATGTCTCCAAGATTCCCTGTGTCACTTGGCCCTCTCAGCTCAGCCTCCTGAAAGCCATCAAAAGCTTGTTGACTTTAGCAAGGACCTTCCTCATGACACCTCAACACCTCCAGTGGATAATTACTCACCACCCCCTGTTGAGTCAGGTGACTCCTATAAAACTGAGGCTCCCTGTGGAGAAGACACAAGTCCCTTGGAGAGATGTGAGAAGTTCTTTCTTGAGTTAAGCCCACCAAATTTCCCAGACCTCCAAGTTTGTGCTTTAGAACAGCACTCTCAGCCGCTCCGTCCCAACAGCACCCAGAGAGTGGCCACCTGTTTACAAAGCAGTGGAACACTGCCGTCTCCAATGCTGAGGAGTAGAGACTGGGAGCTGGCCAAGAGCTTGGTGCCTGAAGGGATGGTTTCCCCCAAGTGTGACCCACAGAGTGATAGGAGTGGATGGCCAAGCAGGACAGAAAATGGAGGTAAGAGTTCAAGTCCAGTAGAGTCACAGCCCATGCTGGATGTCTCCTCTCCTTGGAGAGACCTCAGGCACCCCAGTCCCTGCCCAGTCTCTGGACTGACCAACACCACAGGACTCAGAGATTCTGCTCTGGGTCCAGCTGGGGCCTGCCAGCCTGAGGAGCTGCTGAGCTCCACTCCCCAGAAGTGTATGGCTCCTGAGTCTGCCTACCACAGCCTGAGAGATCTCCCGGTGCACAACAAATCCAGGAACTGGTGTGGGGTTCAGGATGACTGTCCGGCAGGGCTGGGTGTGGCTGAAATGTTGGGGACCAGATGTGACCTCCACCCTGGAGGACAGGGAGAGAAGCTGTCTCGTTCTGAGGGTCAGAGCCAAACTCCCAAGAGGCCTCAGTGTGAGCAGATCCCCTTGCAAGTTGGGAGCCAGAACCTCACACTCAGCATGGAACTCACAGAAGCGAAACTGTACCATGGGTTCGGAGAGACGGATGCCCTCCTGCAGATGCTGCAGAGCGGGACCGGGGAGGCACTAGCTGCCGAGGAGCCTGAGCTCTCCACCACGGAGCCCGTGCCCCCCACCTGGGAGGAGCTCTATGTCAGGTAAGTGCCTCCTGACCCTCTCCAGGGTGGGTCCAGAGGTGAGACCAGTCAGCTGACAGCCCGCTGGCCTGTGGTGGATGACTCCACAAGCACGTGGAGCCCATGGGAAAGGATTCCCTGCCGATTAGTAAACAAGCCTTGATTATTGCATACCCAGCCCCTGGCTGTTCCTCACTCTTGGCTAGCTGGGGAATCTTTAGGGATCAGAGAGAGCTCCTAAGACAGAGACATTTGGGGCCAGCTTCAGTGAATTCATCTTGTTTTTTCTCAGGCAAAAAAAAGCCATCGAGACCCTGTGGAGAGACCGGGCTGAGCGACGGAAGACCTTCAGCCAGAGGAGAAGTCCCAGCCCCCAGAAGCAGCTATCCCTCCTGCCCAACATGGATTTTCCCAAGAGGGCCCTTAACTTACCCAGCCGGCGCCGAGAGTACCTGCAGCAGCTGAGGAAGGATGTTGTGGAGACCACAAGGCAAGATCCTGTGGGGAGCAGGCCATGCTGGTTGAGGGACTGGATGGGAGCTGTGCTGGCTGAGGGGACTTAATGGGGAGCAGGCTGTGGTTATTGAGGGGAGTGGATGGGGAGTGGGCTAGATTGTTTGGCCTCCTGGAGAGTGAAGGCTGCAGCTTTCTTTGAGAGGAGAGATTCTAGTGATTCTGTACTACATGATGGACAAGTGGAAGGAATGCCAATGACTAGGCACCTGGGAAGATGGATGAAGGAGGGCGCAGAGGTGGGAGAGGCAGCTTGGCAGAGCAAAAAAGTGGACGATGTCTCTGGCATTCTATTGAATAGAGCAGGTCTGAGCCTCAGAATGGCCCCTCCCCCGTCCTGCACCTTTTACCTCGTCAAATTCTAAAACCCCGTGGCTAGGGGAACCTGTATTCCTTTTATGTTGAACTAAGTGATGTTAAGTATGAAAATCCACCAGATGCTCTGCCGGGGAAGGAGGGACAATGTCCTCCTGTACCAGTCAGATCTGATTTGACGGTACACTCACACAAAAATAATAAAATAAAAATTTTTAAAAAAAAGAAAATTCAATGTGATTGTAAAATTTCACGGAAATAAAAATATGATTTATAAAAATAACTAAAAAGGAATTGGTGTTAAGCTAAGCTGGGCCCGGCAGGTCAGGGCATCACCCACCAGCCATAGGAAGGCTTCTCTCCACCCTCTGTCCACAGGCGCTCGGAGTCTGCCCACCTTCCCTCTGACATTGAGCTGATGCTGAGAGACTATCAGCAGGCCCGGGAGGAGGCCAAGATGGAGATCGCTCAGGCGCGGAACAGGCTGCGGGAGCGCACTGAACGGGAGAAGCTGAAGATCCGCCAACAGATTGTCTCCCAGCTGCTGAGGGTGAGGAACGGTCCTCTATTCCAGGGAAGGGCGGGCTGGCCAGCTTTCAGTGGCTCCTCTGAGTCCAAAGCCTTGGTGCCAGCTCAGATCTGTATTCTTCTTCGTATGCCATCCTCATCAGCATAACTGGGCTGGGGTCTGGGATGAGGAGGCTTTAGGATATCACGGTCTTATTATGGGAAGTATGAAGTGTGAGAGCAGAGGAAAAGTGCTAAGGTGATGGGGCCTGTAAGAAGGGGTGACTTGGGGTAGAAGGCAGTGAAGGTACATCAGAAGCAAGTTGATGATGTTTGTTCCATCCCTCTTAGGAAAAGGAAAAACTACACACTCTGGCCAACTCCAGTCCCTTGTGCACAAGCTCCAGTGGAAGTCTCTCCTCTGCTGTCACCTCTGGCTACAATAGCATCCCAGCCTTGTTTGGCCAGCTCCAGTCCCCAGACAGCCTGGTGAGTAGGTTAGGTTGGAAATAAGCCCTAGACCCAGGCCCACTGAGACTGGTCTATAGGCAGGAAGTCCTGCCTCCTGGATGCCACTGCTGACAGGAGCCCTTCTCATGTGCTGTGGCTGTGAATTTCCCTTTAGTTCTATTTCTCCAGTTTGTTTTGTCAGTAGATGTGTAGGATGGATGGGTCGTCCTTAGGTGACCATGGTGAAGTATGGTAAGAGGATGATTCTCTGGTGTGGAAGCTGACAGTGAGGGGGAGCTTCTCATAAATTGTCAATCACAGGATGTTGGAGGAAGGAAGAGGGAGGAGTCAAGAGCAACACACATTTTTGGCTGGAACAGCTGAAGGGGTGGCCCTGCCAACAGTGAGACAAGGGGCTGCTGAGGACTGGGTGTGTAGTGATGGTCATGACTTCAGGTTGGGGTTTGGGTTGAAGATGTTTGTGAGAAATCAGGTTGAGAGTGAGAAGTACAGGAGCTCAGAGGTCAGGTCTGACTGGGAGATAAAGTTTGAAATTCACCTTAAAGGTTTTTGCCTTCCTAGTAAGATGGTTGACTAGACAAACAGGGGTAAGCAACCTCTACCCTCTTCAAAGAAGCCACCAGGAAACAAAGGCAACATAGCTGTCACTGCTGTCAAGACAAAGCCAGCTCCTGGCTGACCCTGCAGTGGGTTTCTAAGGCTGGAGGCTGCACTGGAGGACACTACCCATATATCTTCCACAGAGTTGCAGGTACAAATATGATGATAATTCTGGAACCGTAAGTTTCAAAAGACAAATACTTTCAATTCTGACTGAAGGACGAAATAATGGAAACACTGAATAAGGAGTCAGATGAAACACAGAACTGCAAAAAATTACGACATGACCATTTTGAGCAGCTGTCCAGTCTGTGTGAGAACTCTGACCAATGCTGATGGTGAGAAAGACAGCACGGCCCTCGGCCACACATACACCACCTGAAGCTTCCCTCAGTGGGCAAGACTAAAGGCCAGCTCGTGCTTCCCCTGGCGGACGTCTCCCTCAACTGCTCTAGACAGATAGTGCGAGAAGAACTGCACACAGGCCCCCACTTCATCATGCCCACCAGGAGTCTGGGGGTGAAACATTAAGAATTCTTATACCAAGAGAGCTCTGTTGGCCTAGTGGCAAGAAGCTGCATTGCAATCCCAGAAGTGCACGATTCTAATCCATCAGATGTTCTGCTGGAGACAGGAGCAATCTCTTCCTGTACCAGTTGGATCTGATTTGATGGTACACACACACAAAAATAATAAAATTTTTAAAACATAGCACAATGACAACATCACCACAATGACTCAGAGGCAGCAGATAATGTTAAACCAGCCAGAACAGGAAAATATGGGACAAAAATTCAACCAAAACACAGAACCAGAAAACAGTTTCTGAGAAAGAAATGCTTATGCTCAAGGACTGGAGGACTTAAGATTGTGAAAATGACAGTACTGTCCAAATCATTTAAAAGATATAAGACAATCCTGATCAGATCCCATAATCATTCTTCAAAATAATGAATATTCACTAATTTCACATGGAAAGGATGGAGACCTTGTAAGCAGAGAGCTGCTGAAAACAAGAAACAAAGTTGGAGGCCTACACTCCCTGATCTCAAAACCTACTATCTAGCCACAGTAATCAGAACAGCTCGGGACTGGTACAAGGGCAGATACACAGACCAATGGAATAGAATGGAGAATCCAGAAGTAAATCCACCTGTGAATAGCCGAACTTTGACAAAGAGATGGACTCCATTAAGTAGAGGAAAGATGGTCTCTTGAACAAATGGTGCTAGCAAAACTAGGTATCTGTTTTTGGGGTGTTGAAACAAGACTCATGCCTCACTCCGTATAAAAAAAACTAACTCAAGATGGATCAAAGACCTGGGCACATAATCTAAAACTATAAAGATTATAAAAGAAAAATGTGGGGCTATCTTAGGAGCTCTACTCAATGGTATAAAGATACTATATTAACTGAAAATGCATAATTAACAGAAATAATCTAGAAGATTGGAACCCCCTAAAAAACAAAATCCAAATGTGCTTCAGCAGACTTCTCCAAAGGAGTAAAATGAGAACCTACAGTTTGGGCAACAAGTATTTGGCAATGACACATCTGATGAGAGATTAATTTCTAAAATTTGTAGGAAAGTCCAACATCTCAACAAGAAAAAGGCAGCTCAGTTAAAAAATAGGCACTTCACCAAAGAAGACATGCAGATGGTAAAAAACATCTGAAGAAACAGTCAAGATCATTAGCTATTCAACTACCCAACTCACTGATGTTGATTTGGAACTGCCTAGCTGACATGAAGAAACAAAGTGAAAAATACTGGTCATTCAGGAAAACAACCCTGGTCTTACAAAAAATGCAAGGGTGTTTTCACTGTCACCTTTTTCCCCCACGACCTCTTCTTGGTTAGAACATTTTGACCTTGTTTATAATGTTTGTATGTGCAGTGTTGTTTTTGCCCTCGTAGTTCAGGGAGAAGTGGCATCAAGGAAGGTTTTTATAGATGGAAGAAACATTTAGCTGTTGAAATGATGATAAAAAGGTTTCAGTGAAGAGTGGTGGAGGGGAGAGGAGTGACAGAGGAGGTGATGAGTAGTGAAGGATTCTGAGAAGGTGGTTGTGGTTGTTGTTGTTGTTGTTATGTGCTGTCGAGTCGCTTGAACTCATAGTGACTCTATGTGCAACAGCCCTAAACTCTGCTCTGTCCTGTGCCAATCGCACTGTCTCTGACACTCCCATCCCAATTACCCTAGTCACTGAATCAGTCCACCTCATAGAGGGTCTTCCCCTCCTGCGCCATCCCTCCACCCTCCCAAGCGTAATGTCCCTCTCCAAGGACCGGTCCCTCCTCACAACTTGTCCAAAGTATGTTAGACGGAGCCTCAGAATCCTTGCCTGCAAGGAGCCACCGGTTTAACCCTTTCCAGGACAAATCTGTTTGATTTCCTAGCAGTCCATAGTACTCTCAATACTCTTCTCCAGCACCACAGCTCAAAGGCATCAATTCTCCTTCTATCCTCCTTGTTCATTGTCCAACTCTCTGATGCATAACAAGTGATTGCAAAGACCGTGGCCTGTATCAGATGCACCTTGGTCTCCAGATCGAAATCTCAGCTGGAAGGACCTGGTTAAAGTATGTAGCAGGAGGAGGGAAAGAGAATGGAAATAGAACTGTTCTGTTCCCTTTCTTGTCTTTGAAGCAATGGTGGAGGTAGTATGTGGGTGCCTGTCAGGTTCAGGGGAAGTCAAAGGTCCTGCCATCGAGGGCCTGCTTGGGCGAGGGTGAGTGACCATGGTGCCAATCCAGAGGATCACCCCATTGGTCTCCGTATTGGGATCTTGAGCTCCAGCTGGGCTAAGCTTGTCCTAGCAGCTTCATTCCCTTCCCACTGACCTGTCCTTTGGACTCTTCACTGCTGCCTAGCAAGTCTTCCTCCTGCTGCCGCAGCAGGGTAGCTGACCCTGACCTGTTGCACTGCCCCTCAGCAAGCTGAGTCCCCAATGCTGCCAAGCTGCATTTTCTTTTGATCCCCACTGTTACTCACCTGTAAGCAGCTTTGGGCCTGTGGTCTGGAGGGCTAGGAGAGATTGTCCAAGGATTGGTTTCAGTGGCCATTGGCCTCCCATTGGCCTCCGTCCGTAATTCAGCATGAGGAGAATCTTTTGAGTTGAGCCATTATGTTGCAGATTCTGTGCTAGCTTCCTGACACTTTCTCCTCTGCTCTGGCCCTGACCCGCTCTCCTGCAGGGGGATACAAACTTGTCTGATTCACGAGACACCTGGATAGGAGATAGCTGGGGCCATTCTGAAGTGAGGCAGAATCGCCTCTGTCTGTCTGGATCCTTCTGGAAGAGCTTGGCCGTGGGTGAGTGGTCATTTGGGAGGGTCAGTTTTGGCGGCTGATCCCATTAGATCGTGGAATGTCTATGGCCTGAGTCCCCAAGGCTTGTCATGGCTGGGACAGTTGCTCTCCTCAGGTTCCCCCACCCCAGTTCTGTGCTATCTTCCCCCCCCCCCCCCCCGCCCCGCATTGATCACAGGAAACAGAGCCTCCACAGGCAGTTGCTCCTGCTCCCCATCCAGCTTGTCCAGCACAGGGACCTGCTTCTCTTCCTCCTACCAGGACCTGGCCAAGCACATTGTGCACGTTTCCATGGCAGATGTGAGTAACTGCTCCCCCTCAGCCCGCCCTCCTTTGATCAGACATTTGCTGGGTGGGATCATGACAAGGAGGAAAGAAGGGTGAGGAGGACAAGAAAAGGCAGATTCAGGACACAGGAGCTGAATGGGCTCCTCCAGCCTTCCACCGCGAGAAGAGGGGCACTCAGTGCCTGCTGCCTGGGCTGACCACCCAGGGACCCCGGCCCACTAATTTTGTATGTGGTCACTGTGTCCCCAGGTGATGGCTGCTTGTTCTGATAATCTGCACAACCTCTTCATGGGCCAGGCAGCAGCTGGCTGGACGTAAGTGTGCATGGTGTTTCCTCCTAGGCCTGGGGGCCTGCTGGCCTTCACTTCTCCCTCACCCCAGGCTGCTCCTCTTTGATCCCTGGACTTCATTTCTCACCTCCTCCTCTTCCTCACCTTTGGTGTTTCCCCCCAGCTATCAGGGTGAGGAGCAGCAGGTGCAACTTTACTACAAGGTGTTTTCTTCTACTCGGCATGGCTTCCTGGGGGCAGGTGTGGTGCCCCAGCCACTGGCTCAGGTGTGGACGGCTGTGAGCGACCCCACCCTGTGGCCCCTGTATCACAAGCCCATCCAGACAGCACGGCTACATCAGCGGGTGACCAGCACCATCAGCCTGGGTGAGCGCAGGACTGTCTCTGGTGTGTCCAACAGGCCCAGGCCAGGGGAGAGGTCCCTGGGTTAGAGGCAGCCTCTGGGAGCCAAGTACTCAGATTGCTGAGGGTCGGAGGTCCAGCAGGATGTTGAGCTGTGAGTGACAAGGTGGCAGAGAGGGTCCTGTGCTGGGAAGGGCTCAGGAATAGTGTCTGTCCCTGCTGACCTCATTCCCTCGTCCTGCCCTGTAGTGTACCTGGTGTGCAGCACCACCCTGTGTGCACTGAAGCAGCCACGAGATTTCTGTTGTGTCTGTGTGGAAGCTAAAGAGGTACTGTCTGTTGGTGGTGAAAGGAGCGTGGGAAGAACTCGGGGTGCAGCCTCGGAGGGAAGGGCACGTTGTGGGTGGGCCATGGGTGTTGCAGGGGCCCGTAAAGGTGGCCCACTGCTGTGTTGAGCCTTTTCTGGTTTCCCTCCCATCATAGAGGCAGGACTCACACCCTTCTCTGTCCCCAGGGCCAGATGTCTATCATGGCAGCTCAGTCTGTGTATGACACATCTATGCCTCGGCCGAGCAGGGAAATGGTTCGGGGGGAGATCCTGCCCAGTGCCTGGATCCTGCAGCCTCTCACCGTGGAAGGGAAAGAGATGACCAGAGTCATCTACTTGGCCCAGGTAATACACCCCAAATAGCCACCACAGCTGCAGGTCTTGACTCTCTTGGGGCCAAAGACTAGCTCTTGGGCTAAAAGATGATGGTTGGAGAATGGAGACTAAAGGGCTTCTTGGTTCTGCAGTAGGTCAGTGAATGGTAGATCAGAGAGGGACGGATCAGATAAACCAGAGAACTCAACAACCATGATTGTCGCCAGGCTCCTTATGGCGTAGATGGTTCACTGCAACTAGCAGTTTCAGCAGAGCAGGGAGACGACACATTTTGTGTGGCTCCCCATCCCCATCCCTGACTGACTCTAGCATAGGGAGGTCCCACTTAGATTTGAACAGCACAGCCCAGTGCCTGATTTCTAGAACAGCACTCAGCTGGGCTTCTCCCGATGGGATGGTCTCAGGGCTCTTCTGGCTGAAGGGCACCCTGACAGTCTGTCTTGAAGCTTTGCTTCTACCCTCTGCTTTATTTCAGGTAGAACTTGGTGCTCCAGGCTTCCCTCCTCAGCTCCTGAACTCCTTTATCAAACAGCAGCCACTAGTTATAGCTAGACTGGAGTCTTTCCTCAGTAGTTAGCATCTCGCCATCAAGATGGTGCTGCAGAGATGTGGTGGCAGCTTCTTGTCACTATCTGCACACTGATGCGAGAAAGTCCAAGATGACCTGTTGGGCCGTGTGGATGGAAGCATTCAATCCAGTGTTACCAGCAAAGCCTAGTTAATACTTGGTCACAGCTGGCACCACCGCAGAGCCAGGGGCCTGAGCTTGCTAAGCCATCCAGGGTGAATGAAGCTCGGTTCACCCCTTGCATTTCCCATCTTTGAGCTCTTTGAGACCTCCTGCTCAAGACAAAGGAGCGATGTGCAGACAGCAAAGCTGGGCCTGGTGGTGCGGCTGCTCGTCTGGCCAGGAGGAAGGTGAGCAGCCACTGGCCAAGACACCTCCGTATCTGCCTCCAGGGTTCAGCTCCCGTGTGGGATGGGTGTCAGACATACCAAAGCAGAAAAAGGATCTGAAAAAACAGCTGCACAAACCAAAGAGTGAGAATCATTTCTCCTTGAATTTTTGCAGTGTTTTATTAATTTAAGGGTGTGATGATAAGGCCATCACTTTGGGGTGCAGGATGGTAGGAAGTCACCCACTATAGCAGCACCAAGAACTGAATGGGTCAGACTCGGGCCTGTGAGGACTGAGGTGGGAGTAGTCCAATGAGGGCTGCTGATGATGCACAAGACATTTCAAAGACCTGTCCCTTGAAGAAGGGAGAGAAGATAAACAGACTCATAGGAGGTGGTTTGTTTGGAGATTAGGTTGATTCTGCACCTCTCTCCTCATCCGAGGCCTGGGTGGAGGCTGCTAGAGGGTCCCCTTTTTCTGGGGCCAGAAATCTTTGGTGAAGAGTGCCAGGTTAGGATGGATACTCAGAAGTAATTTCCTGTATGATGCAGTAGAGATTTCTTTTTCTTCAAAGGTGGGATTTTTTTCCCTTATGATCACAGATTGTTATATTTATATATTGAAAGTTTGTAAAATTGCTTTTAACTTTTCTTTTTCTGGTTTTTTGGCAACACTTGATAGACACAACACCCTATTTATGTACTCCCACTTCTTTTTATAAACAAAAAAAACAACAACAAACCCTCTTTAGACTTTTGACCAAGGTCAGAACACTGGTGAATTTAGTCTTATGTGTACTTTTACTTAGTGAAAACTACTCCAGGATAGTCTTAAGTGTGAAGTGAGCTCAGGAGAACTTAGCTTGCAGTTTATGATGGTGTTTCCTATTCATCTGGCCCAATTTCAAGCTATTCTGTTTACATACAAGTACTGAGTGTCTTCCATAAGCTCAGTGCCAGTTTGCAAAACAGTAGACCACATGCAGAACCCAGCAGTGAACAAGAAACCCTGGGAAGGACGCACACGTGTGGTGAGTGGGTACAGCTCTCATCTGGTGCAGGCAGAACCACACCGCACGTTAGGGCACTCACTAAGGCTCATCTTGAAACAAAGTGTGAGAGGATCCAGAGACACAGTCTCTGACTGATCTCAAGATTTTGGACAGAGGATCCGAAATCACCAGAAGGCTTGTTATATAGTCCAGACTGTTGAGGCCCAAGGACTGCTATTTCTAGCAAGTTCTCAGGTGATGTTGATACTGCTGGTTTGAGGACCAAACTGCTGGTTTAGTTAGCAGATACACAGGATCTGATTTACTATTTGTCCTATATACAAGCACCTAAAAGACTACCACTTCAATATGGATTACATCTTTACATCAAGAAAGTCCAATAGGCAAGTCATCATAGACGGAGCAAAGTTGTCAATGATTTCAGTTTTACTTGGATCTACAAACACCTGTGGTACCAGCAGTCAAGAAAACAGAGAAGACCTGTTTTTTTTTGGAAAAATTGGCTGTCAAAGACCTCTTCAGAGTACTAGGATGTCAGTTTAAAGATTAATGTGCACCAGATACAAGTCATGATCTTTTTCTATGCATCTGAAAACTGGACATTGAATAGAATTGATGCTATATTCAAGAGTACTGATAATTCCATGCACTGTCAAAAGAATTACATCCTAAAGAGAGTGCAACCAGGGTGCTCCCCAGAGGCAAGGATGGAGCAGCTTCCCTCACTTTTAGCATGTTAAGAGGGGCTAGTCCTTGGAAAAAGATACCATGCTTGGTAAATTAGTCATCAAAAGAGAGGAAGACCCTCAACAAAATGTACTGCTAGTGACTTTAGCAATGGGCTCGAGCATAGAGGAGTGTGGGAGGATGGTGCAGAGTTCAGATTTGTTGTTCATACTGTTGCTGAGGCTCTTCCGACAGTGACACCTAACAATAGCTGTTGCCTTCACATCGCTGCTTAGACTAGGTGGCCAGCAGGAAGGCTCAGAAATCAAGGTTTAATTTCCATTCACGTTCCTGAGAATTTGGTCTCTATTTGAAAGGCTTTATGCTTGGGCTATGAAGTATCATTTCAGTTGACTGAAAAAAGCATGAGTAAAGCTTTTGAAAATGAATTATTCAAAGTATGGGCTTCACCCAAGCAGGAGAAAGTTCAGACACAAACTAACAAGGAGTAACCAGGATGTGGCCAAGGCAAGGCACTGGGGTCGGCCACCAGGAGGAACACATTCGGAGTGGTGACTGTGAAACACCCTGTCCTTTACTATGATGGAATTTATTGCAGCCAAGGGTTCCTTATAATAGGATCTATCTCAACCCAGAGAATCTCAACCTTCCATGGGCCAGGCATCTTTGACAGTTGTGAAGTCTTCCCAAGAAATAAGCAGCGATGTACAGACAAAGCTTTAAGAGGTTTACTCTGCCCTCCATGTGTGTCCCCATTCAGAGGGAGAATCTCTCTACATGCAGCCTAGAACTTTAATGCACATTACTAATGTCATTTGTTTCCTTTGTCAAAATTAGGGGTCTATTTGTAGATAGTCTGGTCAAACGGAGTCTCAAAGTAGAATGCTTCCACTTACCCCAATAATTATCAGGGATATGAATGGAAATTAACCCTCTTGCTGACCATTTATTATTCTAAGTGAGATGAAGGCAGCAGCTGATGCCCTGAGGTTCCTCTGTTGTTATGCTAAAGCCCACTGTTCCAGTCACTTAATGGTCTAGTTCTTGGCAGTACATGATACTCTTCTCAAGCACCAAAGACATCGATTTGTCTATCATTCTTAGTCATTGTCCAGCTGTCTGACACACAGCATGGAACTGCAAACATGGTCTAAGGCTGCCTCAGGATAAGGCAGGCTTCAGAGCTTCTGTACACAGGGTTACTGTGAGTCACAGGGAACTCAAAGGCACAAAACAGTGGTTTAGTTCAATAGGAAACACCTTTGTACATGATTTTAAACTTTCCTCAAATGAAAAGAGCACACTGGGCCAACTGCAAAGTTAATAATAAATGGGGCTGTGGCCTCAAGATCACATAGGCATTGCTAAACGTCAGGCAGTTATCACAGCTCATGGCAACTCCCAACTCGTGGGAAAAACATCAAACCCTTGGTAACGAAAAGTTTATTTTAAAAAACTCTAATGACTTGCCCTGTGCTTGGTTCCTGGGCAGATCTAAGAAATCCCAGGTGGGCAAGCAGAGGGACGGAGGCAGGCTTCTGTCTTTAGTCCTGTCTTCCCTGTTGTGCCGCTTTAAGGTGATGGCTCCTGGTGATAAGAAAATGTAGACCACAAAAATCCATGGTTCAGCTTTCCTCACAAGCAGGAAGTTAGATGCTTCTGTCATGATTTACCCAAACCACAAAGTTTTTAAAACACTAGGATACCAGCAAGTTGGGCTTGACCTTGTCAATAAGCCCACACATATAATTTCATTTAGTATCCAAATGACTGACTCTTGTGCTCCAGGACCGGAGATGCAGCTCCTTCCTCTAGGAATCTGGCTGGCAGACCTGCGGTTGACGGTGGGATGCAATGCCAAGCAGCCACATACGTCCTTCACATCTGAGCAGGAACACTGATTCCATCAGACCCAGCTACTCCCTAGTATGCCTTCAGGGAAAGGGCTCCAGCAAGGATCAGAAGTGGGCACCTGGGGTGGCACTGGGCCTCTTGAGGTCAGCTGGCAGGGCTCCCAGGTTCTAGTGAAACGCTCAAGGCAGGGCCCCTCATCCTAGCTCTGGGCTAGCACAGCCCCTCGATTTGGTTGGACTAACTCACAAGTTCTTAGATGTGGTTCTGGCATGTGAGGCTCAGCTAGAAATAGGCTGACCAGAGCTGCTAATTCTTTAGAGAAGTCCTGGAACAAGAATGAGAAAGAAGCAAGCAAACATGTCATTCTGGAGGGTTCTTCCTTTCTACTACAAGCTAGCTGTTCTCACTGTCGCTGTGTGGGCACGCGTCTGCTCTGTGGGAGCCTTTGCTCTAAATGAAGAGCGTTTCTGCCTGCGGCCAGTCACCACCTGCTGAGGACGGAGGTGCCAGGCCATCTTATGCACAATATTCTTGATACAAACACTATTAGGAATAAGATATACCCACTTCCTGGATTTTTTTTTTAAATTACTTTGTACCAAATCACAAAATCATTAAGTACCAGCTGAGATTAAAACTGAGGTCATTCTAGTTAAAGAAACCCACACTATCTCTCCATTTCAGGGTAATACTTAAGACCATTTAACTTTGGGAAGATCCTAAGAATGCCAGGTCCCATTACTTGACCCTTTTTAAGATAAGGTTATCTATTCCCTGTATATGAGGAGACAAGACTTACCGCTGGCCACTGGGCCTCATGGAGGCTGTCCAGGCAGGCTCCTATCTCGGTCCGTTCCATCAGACCACTCTCAACCAACTCCTGGAGCAAGAAAAGCAGCAGATCCCACTGCAAAACAGTGAGGGGCATGTCAGGGTCACCAGAGAACTGCACCAGGGTCCTAGGTGACACAGGTGTAGACCTCAAAGGACAGCTACTAAGGAGCCCACAGAGAGAGAGGGGCAAGGAGAGCGACTCACACTGGTGGGAGGGGCCGAGGTGTGATGGCAGCAGGAGGAGCTGCACTGACTCACCTCTCTGGGCCGAGTGTCCGCCAGAAGTCCCACGTTTCTAGGCCTGAGCAGCAGCTGCAGTGGAACAGGCACCTGAAAATCCTCCTTCCACAAGGAAAGCAGCACATGCAGGAGCCTCCGCGCCTGCCCTCGCTCCAGCCTGTGCTGTGCCGGGGGCCCTAGGACAGGGATTTGGTCTGCAACTGGGAAGAGAAGCAGCCTAAGCTTTAGGAGGAGGAGGAGGCAGGACGAGGGAAAGACACGAGAGCACCATGTTTCTAGCCCTGAAATGTGGGGTACCAGTGGAAAAAAGGAACCATACCAAGGAGGGACGCCAGCTCCACGGAGCACTTTGCCAGATGCTGCTCGGCAGGCGGGCACAGGAACTGTGGAGGAAAGGTTTCCAGAGTGAACGCCATCCCTAGAGGTGGCTCCTAGCTAGGCGGCCACCAAGGAGCCACAAGAAAAGGGTCCTTCGTGTGGCACGTTGCTGTGTCTCACCTGGCGGCAGCGCAGTGTCTGACCCAAATGGCCCAGGAGCCGCTCCAGCTGTTCTGGGGTCACACCCTCCTCAGGATCTCGGGGCCCCACAGCAAGAGCTAGCACATCCTGTACAGCAGAAGAGGGACAGAGGACCTCAATCGGAGGATGCCACAGGATCAGGCTCAGGGCAGAGGGAGCCAGTGGAGAGGCAAGAGGCGAAGGGCTGATAGCCCTGGGGTGACAGGACTGGGGCAAGGTGCACTCAGAGTGGGGACAGCACAGCTGGGAGCAGCAGCAAGGACAGACAGAGCAAGGAAGGTGAAGGACGGCACGCTGCAGGAGGCAGGGCCCAGCCAGTAGGAAGGTGAAGATGCTCATCAACTTGGGACAAAACTGGACCAACCACTTCCCAGAGGCCATCCAATCGCAGTGAGGAGACCCTGTAGCCATCTAAACCACTGGATACAAAACATTTTCTCTTAGACTTTTCTGTTCTTCTCAGGAAATAGGTTTTGGTAGATCCTGTGCCGCTGAGAGCCAGTATCTAATCTAAGCCGCGTAGCTTGTTCTTCCTCCTATGTTGTTGGGTACCATCAAGTTGGAACCGACTCACAGCTTGCCCTCCAGTGGGTTTTCAGAGGCAATTTAATTGCACGAGGGACTTCCTGCCCATCTCCATGGAGCAGCTGGTGGATGTGAACCTTGTGCCTCTGGGATGGCAGCACTGCTCCTCAGCACTAGGCCACCAGAGCTCCTTCCTAGAGAATCTCCAGTCACTCCTCCTTAGTCCCTATTCCCCGTCATTCCTTGCCTGCTGCTCTAGGGTCATTTGGATACACATACGCTTTGTGGGCACAGGTACTGTCAAAACTATTCCTCTCTGCTGCTGTACCACCAAAGCAACCCTAGACAATACCAAAGTGTTGCTGTGTCCCAATAAAACAGCATTTATAAAAGTAGGTAGTGGGCTGGATTTGGTCCGTGAATCACAGTTTGCTGACCCTCTGCTTTATTTTTTTACATCAAATTATAGAAAACTGGTATTTTGTAATTGCCAATTCAATGCATTTCTAACATCCTATCCAAATACTGGAGTGACTACCCCCTTGGATGTTCCCACTATGCTGTACAGCTACTCAGCACCCACTGTCATCACCATCTGTACAGGACAGTGTGCATTTAGTCAAAATCAAAGAGACTTTCTGGACATGTAAGAAGGTTGTATAAGGAATACTGGAGCTGATGGGAGAGGAGACCAAGAAGAGCAGGGGGAGAGAGCAGGGAAGCCAAAAGGAGGAGGGGAGCTGTGTACTTTGATCTCGGAGATGAGGTGGGAGGGGAGGGGAGCGTGGTGCTCACAGGCACGGGGGCAGCCCCTCCGCTCCCCCCGGGCAGCTGGCTCAGGACCTTGGCCTCGAAGGTTGCGACTCACTGCCGCCTTCACCTCCCTCCTGATGAGCGCTGCGGGGCAGAGGAAAATTGGAGAGAGGTCACCATCCTTGTCACTGTTCCCAACTGGCTGAGTCCCACCTCTTCAAAAGGGCCTCCAACTTTGAAAAATGCTAGCCCACTTTCACAAACGTGGCCCAGCCACCTCATCTCCTGGACCTTACCTGTAATGTTGGCTGATAACCAAGTACAGGCTTTCTCTGTTGCAAGTCCCACTGCAATGGTCTCTGCACTGGCCAGCACCTGGGACACAGAGGGGCCACCGTCACACACAGGCACATGTGGACACAGCTTGGCAGTGGCCCCACCCCAAGGCTCAGTGCTCTAGCTACAGCCCGCAGCTGTGCGAGTGTGGCCACACGTACCGCTGCTGGGGTCTCCTCGGGAAGCAGTGCTCGCACAGCCTCAGGACTCTTCTTCTGGCAGAACCTGAGAGGTCCAGGAAGAGGAGGTCAGTTTGTGTGGATATTCCAGCCTGGTCACAGAAGCAAACCCCTGACCGCTGAGGCCACACAGAAAGGGTTGGTCCAGGTGGACCCTGCTGGCTGCCCTGCCCTGCCCCATTCTATGGCACCACGAATTCTTCCAAGTCAAGTTCTGGGCACTGTGTCACAGAGCAGAAAAACACAGAGAATGAAGGACAGGAAAAGGTAGAGTGAAAGGGGGTTAAGAGGATCCAATCAGACTGGTATCTCTTACTCTCGTCCCTGGGCCAATGCCTGGGCCCCGTGGGGACACAGCTTGGAACACAGAATTTCCAGCAGCTGGGCCGAATCTCCCCCTCCCCGGTGCTGCATCACCAGCTGCTCCTGGAGAAGTGACTCTGCCTGGTTCACCAGATCTGCCACCAATGTGGCCCTGCAGCGGGACAGCAAAGTTGGGAGGTGGTTGGAAAGACTGAATCAGGAAGGGTTTGCAAATTCAAACAAACGTGATCAGAACTTCTTTCAGAGAACGTGATGTTATCCTCCCTCCTTCAAGCTGGGTTTCCTCAACACTCAACAGCACATCTCGTCCCTACCCAGCTTCTTACTTGATGTGCTTGACACAGTTGGATCCAATTCTCTCTGCCACAAATTCCACAGTTCTACGCAGGGAGGGAGGCTGGTTGTGGAAAAAGGCCTCAGCAAGCTTTGCCTGTTGGCAGATCAGTGTGGTAATGATGTTCCCTTTTGTCTGGGACCACCTTCTCTTCCCCATGGGGCTGCTTCCTCCTGCACCCCCTCACCTGCAGCCCCTGTGTTGTTTGGGGGGGCTGGGCTCCCAGGCTGGTGGTTGTAGTGGGAGTGATTTTCCTCACGAAGCCCCCACTCCGTGTGCTGCTTCCTGATACCCATGATGCAAGCAGTTTCCGGAGCTCTCCTGCAGCAGACAAGCCCAAGTCCTTACCACCAGCCCTCTCTCCTGCCCCTTGGAATTTAAGCATTTCTGGGGTAAAGAGGCTGAGGCATCTGGAGAGTGCATAACAGAACAGTCTATTAGAGTGCCTGGCTGATGAGGTGTATTTTAGACACTCAGGAAGGGACAGAATAAGGGCCAAGGCACCTGCTGGGGAAGGCTGAGCTACGCACCGATATAGGGGCAACAGGTGTAGAGCAGTTGTTGGTCCACTACAGGCATACCGTCCTGGGGAGAAAAGGCCAGAGCTGCGAAGGCCAGCAGGTGGTGCGTCCTTCCTGGACACCACCACTTCTCCTTCACAGCTCTGTCTGGACCCTAACACTCACCAAGCCATGCTCTGAAACTACAGTGTCCACTTCAATGGCATCTGCTTGACCCTCTTCCAGAAAGAACAAGTCCTCAGGGACTGTAGGAATCTGGCAAGAACAGGGTAGTCAAAGTTCCAGACAGCTCCTCAGAAACTTCCAGGTACAAAGTAACTTTCCTCTGAACCTAAAGTCATTCTCACACCTCTTCTGAAACTCTTTTTCTCACACCAACTTCATTCAGGTTCAGACATTATTTTTCTCCCCATCTCCACCCACAGCATCCCCAGCACCGTGGGGACCCTTGTCCCAACCTGAAAAAGCCAGCCCAAGACAGCAAGCAGCAGCAGCTTGTTCAGGAAACACATCTCCCCTTTACTCTCCTTTGATAAGACCAAGCTCCTAAAAGTAAACAGAATTTGTGCTATGAGAAAAGCCCCAAAGTCAAAACACAAAACTAATCTGAGAAAAACAAAGTTGTCAGGAGATTATTCTCAAAACCAAAAACAGGAGGCACTGCTGTCATGTGGTAACCAGGATCACCTCATTTTCCCAGCCCATTATCTGTATTTCTTTTCAGGTGGCTATCACGAAGGCCACCAGCTGCTCTGTGGGAGAAGGATGTGATTAAGTGCCTCTGAAAAGCCACTGGAGGGTCAGCTATGGGTCGGTTCTGACTCTGGTAAACAGCAATAATAGTGGAAATAGAAAAAGGCCAAAGAAGTGCACGTAACTGCCCACTCTCTCCTTGTGGACTAAGCCCTGCCTTCTCCTTGTGGCTCAGGGATAGTTGTGTTGCCAAACACACAGCACAAAAGCTCAACTCTGGAGAACCAAGCGGTGCTCTCCCCACATTCTTTTCTCAATACTTACCCTGTGCTGGGTTCTCTACTCACCGATGTAAGTGTAACAGGAGAGTAAAGGTGCTCCGGTAATAGTCCAGTAAGGGAACAATGTGGTCGGCAAAAGAAAGGAACTCCACCAGCCAGGGCACGGTGAGCACTGCTCGGCGGGCCCCCAGCCCCTGCTGCAGCAGAGTTAGCACGTCCAGGACTGGAGGGACCTGGTGGGGCCAGTGCCCAGTCAGTGGGCAGGCCCCTGGGAGGGGCTGGGTAGTGCCCTCTAACCTGCCTGGTTTCCTGAATGGCCAAGGAGACCAGTCAACTTCAATGCCTTTCTGCTCCTCCCAGCTCCCTCCTGGCCAGGAGTCCCCCACTCACCTGGCTCCTGAGGGCCAAAATGGAGTCCTGAAGTTCACGGGTCGGGGGTGGCTCAGGCCCCCGGTACGGCAGAAAGGCCACAAAGCCTAGGAATTTAGCCAGAAGCCTCAGGCTAAGCAACACCACAGCAAACTGCCTCCGCTCACCCTGCAGGGTAGAGGGAAATACACCAGGCTTTCTAACAACTCCAAGTCTCTTAAAAGTGCAACAATGCAAAAAAAGAAAAAAATTTTTAAAAAAGTGCAACAATGCATGAATAGAAATCCAAGTTCTCTATAAACTTTCATTCATCTCTCAATTAAAAAAAAAAAAGCCTCCTGCCCCCTCAGCCAGCAGTCCCTCGTTTCCCGTTGTTTTCTAACCTGCCAGTCCACATCTGACTCCCCGTCCTCACTGGGCTCATGCTGAGGCAGAGCCTGGCTATTGAGTTCCCGGATTTTCAAGCTCAGACTATCCATGAGATGTTGATTAAACTGGAAGCTGGGAAGGGAGGGCAGAAAAGATGGGGGAACTAGAAGAGGCCCAGAAAGAATTGGAATAGAGAAGAGGTGTTTTGGACAGAAAGGATCAGCTGAGTAGAGAAGAAAGGCCAAGGAGAAGTAAATAGACCAAGAAGAAGGAGAAAGTGGGATCCGTTCCACCCCGCCAGAGTCCGGGCAAAAGGAAGGTGGTCATTCCTGTCCTTCCGAGAGGACAAACCTCCCCGGCCTCGGTCCACCCCTGCTGAGCACAGCCTTTACCTGCTAGCACTCAAGATGAAGTCCTTGAAGAAGCCTTGGCAGCCTGGGAAGGTGGGGGGTGGACAAGGCCCCCCACTGCTTTGAGGGGCCACAAGCCGCTCCTGGAGGCGCCGCAGCCGCCCCAGCTTGTCGGCTCCCACCATGCTCAACACATCTGGAGCTTCACCCAGGACAGTGCCCCCGGCCCCACAGGGGCTCTGGCACATCTAGGGAGGGAGGCGGAGGCAAGAAAATGAAAAAGCAATTAAAAACTCATTTTTAAATAAAAAATAAGGAGATAAGAAATAAACAAAGTAAGGAGATGGTAATGGACATTTATGGATTGCCAAATCTGTATCAGGTGCTTAAGATATGTTTTTTGATGTAGGAATTATATTCTCAATTTATAAACAAAGAAAACAAAGCTGAAATTCAGGAAGTGCATTTGCCTAGGGTGGTTCAACTCTAAGGTAACCAGCCAGAATTTGAAACAAAGTCTCCCAAATCACCCACCAACTTCAGCATAGCTGTTTGCCCCACCCTAAAGTGCCTGCTATTCCTTGGCTGTCTGCACCACCTACTGTTCACTGTAGATTCATCTCCTACTGGAGCTGTTACCTGGAGAAGCTGTTTTTGGAAGAGCCGAACAAAGTGACTGTGGCTGCAGGCCGCGGAGAGCTGACTCATCATGGCTCTAGGTAAAAAGGTGCAAGAGAGGAGGGTGAGGAAAGGAGCGAAGAGGAAGCAGGTCTCATAAAGCAGCTGGCCCTCGGGCTTTCAGCCTCTCCCAAGGGACTGAGGAGAGACACAGGACTGGTAACAGGAATATCATGGGAGGTGAGGAGCATCTCCCAAACACCAACACCCCTCAAGACTAAGAGACACAATGGCCAAAGAAAAACGTGGGGTTACGTGCCACTGAGTCAGACAGAACTCCCAGTGGATTCTCCAGTGGGTTTTCAGAGGCAGTAAACTGCACTGGAGGAGACTGCCCATCTTTCTCCTGCTCAGCAGCTGGTAGATTCGAGCTGCCTGTCTGAGATGGCAATGAAAACTCCTTACCACTTAGCCAGTAGAGTTCCCAAATGATATCACCCTGTAAACCTTTAGTTCATTAACCACTACTTGCTCTGCAGAACTCATCGTTTAGCCTCTATGGCAATGAGTGAGCGGGAGACAGATAAACTAAGACAGAAGATGGCAGCATCTGATGGGAAGGACGGGGGATAGCCACCTTCTAATCAGCTACACGAGCACACTAAGTTGCTCACTGCAGGATGCAGACCAGACCAAGCGATCAGGAAGGGCACTCACCTGATCCTGCTACCCAAGCCCTTCTCAAAGTCCCAGCCTGGCTCCTCATGGTGATCTTCCCACTCTCGAAGCACCTCATAAAACACGTCCCTGACAGATACACAGGATGCCTCATGAGCGGAAGCACAACTGCCTCGGACTCACCAGAAGCGTCTTTCCTAGGATGGAAACCCTGAGGATGGGACTCCCTCACGCTGCCCAGTGCTGTTCCTAACCTTTCCAGTTACCTAAAGGGGATGAAAACGCTACAGGCCCAGCAGTACCTGCTTCATGCCCTTCTGTGCACAGTGCAAGTTGATCCCAGCCTTCTCTCTGAAAACCCTGTGACTAACCCTGTGAGATGCTTGGCTCAGGTTGGAGGTGTGGTTCAAGTCTATGGCATGAAACAGAATGACACTCAGCGGTCTTTATGAAACCTGACCACAGCAAGGGCCTGGTAGGGCTAAACTACCACCTGTTGGGGCCAAACTCCTAGTTTCTATAAGAACTACACAGCTGCCTATACCAGATGTCACTTTATTCCCTTCCCCAAAGATTCTCTTTCTTATTACCTTTGTTTTTTAAAGGTATGGAAAGCTCGGTCACTGGAGAAGTTTGCACGATTGTCAGTTTCTGGCTGGAAGGAGACAGCTTGAGCAGAGGGTGGCATCACCAGAGAGACCTAAATTATGACAGGTTCAAATGGGAATAAGGTTCCAGTGAGGAACCAAAGCCTGCAGGAGTAAGGCCGAGAAAACCAGCGCACACCTGGCCCAGCGTTAGCCCATGTGGCATGTAACTGGTGTGAGCCGGGCAGCCTGAACTATGAAGTAAATGCCCAAGCTCAGGTCACTACCTTGGCAGCACTGCCCTCATACGCAGCTCGGAGGCGCCCTTGCAGGGCTGGTGAGAAACACAGAAGTCGCTCATTCTCAGCCAACAGCTTCAATGTCCCTTTATCCAGGTAGGAAAGAACCCTATGGGGAAACGAGCAGAAAAAAGGGAGACGGGGTCACAGGCTGTGATAAGGACGCTGGTACTTGTATGTCTGGAGCAGGGAGCAGGGCCAAGGCCCAGATACGTAAGGTGCAGTAACTGTCAAACAATCAAAGCTGACGGAAACAACCAGGGAGGAAAGGAGACCATATAGAGCAGAGCATCAGCTAAAACCAAATGATCAGTTGTCAAGTTCATGGGGGGCAGTTTGACTGTTTTAGAGGGTAAATTCATGAGAGGGATACAAAGTTAAGGTCAGGGGTAAGAATAAGGGACTATGTCTGTGTGACCATGTGCTCTAAGCGGCCGAAGGACAATGCAGGTAATAGGAAGAAAGTTCATACTAGGGAAACTCACTGAAACTGGTGCTCCAAAACCTGTACTGCAAAGAAGACACAGTCGTGAACACTCTGGAACAGAGGCCTTTCCAAGGAATCTACAAGATTAGTAGCAAACAGTCAGTGACCGATTTTTCAAACTCCAGATTCCATTTTTCTAAAGGAGGCCTGGCAACTCACCCAGGGCGCCCGGACTTGACTCAAGGTCATCATACTTGGCAGCCACCATCCTGCGAGCAGTTAGGAGTTGAAGGACGAAGAAAAGCTCCAAGAAGAGATTTGGTACTAGATTTTCTAAACACAAAAAAATTCCGGAAAAAAAATATTAAAAAATTCCAGAGTATCAGGCACCCTTCGCAGGCAAGGCTCAGTTATCTTTCTCCCGAGTGTCTTCCTTTGCTTTCCCTCACCAGCAATACAGGAGGAGTAGACAAGGGCTACTAGCTTCAAGCGGTGACAGGAAGACACTCTGGCAGGGTCAGCGGATTCGGCTGTGAGGCTTCCTGTGCGATTAGGCAGGAGTGACCCTGATTCGGGAATGGGGTGGGCAGGGGTCGATGACTGCTGCAGCTGCTTTGAGCTATGGAGACAGAGGATGTCATGAGCTATTAGCGTGGTTGCTTCGCCACAGCTGTATCCTGAGCCCTCCAGAGAGGTCGTCACAGCCCAGAAAACAGACACAGGGCAGCCATTCAGCAAATCCATCTTAGGGAACAGCCCAAGAATCTCCCACAGTTAGGAAGCCAACACGGAGAGAGCAGAAGGCCATACCGCTCTCTCCTAAGCATCTCTCGCTCCTCCTGCAGACTTCGGCATCCTGGCCGAAGGCCAAGGCCCCACGGGCTAGTGTCCTGGGCTGAGGGCTGGGAACTGGGGACGCTGCTGATTGGGGGTGAGGTGAAACAGGTTTTTGGCTTGGACAGTGACCGTTCTTCACTCACGGGAGTCGGATTGATCCTGCGAGAAGGCTTCGTCCTGCTGAGGACAGCCACAGGTTTCTCTCAAAAGTCCTTCTCTGACATTGCCCTCTCCCACGGAACTCCAGTTCTCACCCCCACCTCTCCCGGGAGAGGGCTGGCTCTCACCCTGCAGGACCGGAGGGGACGGCGCCCACGGGAGGGAACTCCTCCAAGTTGCTGAGGTTTGGGGGATCGGAGACCCCGAGGCTGGAGCTGCCCCGAGGCCTCCGGGCCCCGGCCCAGGTCACGCTCTCCCCGCCAATCACCTCTTCTGGGCCCCCAGAGCCCCGGGCTCCGCGCTCTCGGGGCGGCCCCAGGCCGCGCCTCCTGCCCCCGCGGCGGGCCAGGGGGGCCTCGGCGGCGCCCGGGAACTCGGTCGGAGGGAAGAGCTGGCTGCGCGCCCCGCGGCTGCTCCTCGGCGGGCCCCCCGGCCTTCCCGGAAGGACTGCCGAGGCGCCTGGGGTCTTTGCGGGGGTTGGGGGGCCCTGCGGGAGGACGCGGCTGCTCTGCTCCCGCAGGAAGTTAAGCAGAAACGGCACAAATTCCTTCCGCAGTGGCAGGAGCGAGCTGAACGTGGCAGCCTCCCCGGGGTCATCCTGTGAAGCAGGGGCCGAATGAGAGGTGAGGGTCAGATGGCAGCTGAAGACTGCGAGCAAACCAGCCGCGGGCGCGCCTAGGGTGGGCCTCCCGGCAGCGGCCCCCAGCGGGAGTGCACTCGGCCGGGGCTGGCAGCCGGCACCCCAGAGAAACGGGACCAGTATCTCTCGCGGGAAGAGCATTCTGCATGTTGGCGCTGTTACCTCCGAACTCGGGGTGCTGCGCGCGATCCACCGCACGGTGGCTGCGACCGACACCTCCTCTCGCAAGAGGGACTCCAAAACGGCCGCCATCCCGGTCGGAGCGGTCTGGTCAACTGCGCAGGTGCGGGCCCGCCACGGGCGGCCTGGGAAGCAGCGCTGGCGCCCAGGCCCGACCGTTGGGTCTACAGCCGAGAGACTGGGCCTCTGGGGTGGGGCGGGGCTCCGAGTAGAGGCGGGGCGCCTGGGGCGGAGCCCTGGGGAGAGGCGGGGGCACCTGGGAGGGGCCCTGGAGCGCAGAGGCGGGGCCTCTGGGGC